GCTTTCTTGACGCTAAGCAGATCCCCTTTCTCCCTCGATTTCACGCTTCCCCCAGTTACGACGATCACTCGTCTGACCAGCGTGCCTACGACCGGCGATATTTGGACGATTACCGGCGAGATGGCTACAGCGAGCGGGGCGATGCTTACTACGAACCTGAATACCACCATTCTTATGAGTACCAGCGTTCCCAGGACGGCAGTTACCGGAACTGCAAGAGCAACCGGCGGAAACGGCGGCGGAGACGACGCCGTAGCCGCTCCTTCAGCCGTTCTTCCTCGGTGAGTAGTCTCTGCTTCTTCCGATCTCTTGACCCAGCCATCATCAGGGTCTCTTTGACCTCTCCAGACTTCTGGAAGCAGCCTGTCTGCTAGGCATGGCATTCTAGATGCGTGGGAATCAGTATCACAGAGCGGGGGCCAGCTTCTGGCTTAGGGACATTCATGTTGCTTTTTAGTTGGTTGGCAATCGAAATCCTTGTGCGACTGGCAGTGATGGAGGCTTGGAAAAAGAAAAAAAAATCTGATTTTCCTCTCTTTCGAGTCCAAAAAACGGTCCCTGAATTTCCTTCTATTTTTCCAAAAGTTTCTGCTGCACAATACTAGAAGAAAATGGGTTTCCTTTATGGAGGTGCTGGCGGGTGGGAGATGTGTCCCTAAGCATGGTCTGATTTTCTTAGCTCCAGTAGTCCTCAACCTTTCCTTCCCCCCTCTTTTAAAATTTTTTTTGGTAAGGAGGAATTACGGGATGCCGAAAGAAAGGAACCTCTCGATGGATTGGAGGTCTTTTTAATCCAGAGTATTATTTCTCCTGCTTTCGGAAGCAGTGCATTGTAGAATAGGGCAATAGGTCTGGTCTGGAGGGAGCAGAGAGCGCTGTGATTCATCTATAGCAGGCTCTGCTCTCCCCCTAAACCCTCTTGTAAAGCATCTGCCGCTGTGAAAGGCTCAAATAAATCAATGTTGAGGTTGGATCAGTGTCCTCAAAATCGGGGAGTTTTTCTAAGTTCTCCTTAAAAGCAAATAAACAATGTGACAGCGAGGAAGAAAAGAGCTAGAGATTTGGTGCCAAGGAATGTCTGAGTTTCCAACAAGCAGAGAGGCCTAAAAGCGATGGCCGGCATTGACTTGGGTTGCTTACAGCCAAGTTAAGGAAGTAAAACAAAAGCAGAAACCTTTGCTTGTTCTTTTTTCGGCCCACTCTGTAGCGCAAGCAAAAAAGCTTGCCAGAATCTGCCTTCCCTGATATTGAGAGGCAGAACGGAGTTCTTGTAGCAAATGATTCTGGTGAGAGAAGGGCAAAAACGCCACTTTCTGCATCACAGAGACACTGCCCGGGCCTAACTTCTCCCACGGCCCATCCCAGAACAGACACGGTTCTTACAGTAGCATCGAAGGATGTGTAAAATAATTCGTTTCAAACCACTTTGAATGTGCAGATGTCCCATTTGGAGCGTGAAGCAGCTGCTCCGAGTGTGATACGGCTTGTTTCGAGGGTTTTGGAAGCGGTCCCTGAGCCTGAAAAAAAAATGTTCCGATCTTGAAACTCTCTGTTAAGAGCTTGGGATACTTTCAGAAAGTCCCCTTGGAACAGCCGAAACAGGATTTCACGAACATTTCACACTGGAAACATTTTGCACGCTCTTCGTGGTATCTAACACAGCAGTGCATACTCATTAGGGAAGTAAAACAGGGAAAGACAAATTATCCTTAACTCCCTCAAATGCTTGCAGTTATATTCTGCAACAATTAGAGCATCTGGTTTTGTGTGTGGGGAGCGGGGTTGTTCTTCTGGGTCTGACTCCTGAATGGAAAGCCGGGGCAGTGACTAATCCAGGCAGCCTGGTAGTTATATATTTATGTTGAAGTATTTCAACGTGAAACATTCCTGACCAGTAATCTGATCAGGACCTTTTCAGTGGTAGCACCTGCGCTTTGGAACGATCAAGCCAGCCCCCCTCCCCAAAGAATCTGTTTGGGTCCAATCCTGTTAACTTTTTGAAAAGCACTAGAGGAAGCATGTCTGGTTTGCTTTTGTTGTTCGTGATTATTATTTTATTGTGGGTTTGGTGAGCTGGGCAGCCATATAAGATGGATGGATGGATGGATGGACGGATAGATAAATAATCTCTGAGCAGATGTCAGGCCTAGCCCAAGGAACTCCAAGAGACAATGCCAATTCAGTCCAGCTATGTTTATTAGCTACA